TCTTATATTACCTTTTGTAGCATGAAAACCAATGTGAAACTACATTGATATACATAAATAAAGCAGTCTCATAATCCATCAAAAATCAGGATTGATTCTTCGCCAGTTGGGGGACTGGTACCTATCTAGCAATCATTGGGTAAGAGGCCAGGTACACCCCTCACCAGTCGGGTACCATCAACACAGAGACACGAAGGATGAACAACCGTGCCTCAAATGCATGTTTTTGGACGGTGGGAGTACCCGGACAGAACCCATGTGTGCACAGGGAGAACGTTCAAACTCTATGCAGAAAGAGCCCAGGCTGGAATTCAAACCCAAAACCAGCTAACCTAACGAAAATCAGAGAGAGGATGGTTTTGGAGACAAAAAAGAAAACAAATCAAGTTTCAGAACCAAGCAAAATCAGCAAAAAACAAAAAAAAAGAGAACCCACAGTGATCTGAGTTCGGGCTGTTGCCTTACTCACACGAGAGAAGTGATGCAAACAAAAACATTTATCACAACCAAACCCAACAGGATGATGAGGGCTGGCTCTGATCTGGTTGAACTAAGCTTCTTGGTGGTTTTGCTGGATCTTTTTCACTGGACCCACACTCAGCTCATACTTAGGACACTGAGTTTCTGGGAGAAGAGTCTTCAGCAGGTGATGATCAACAAATCAGTTGCAAACTTATGGGGTCAATAACAAAAATGGAATCAATTATCTATTTTTTTTTTTTAGCCCAGACTGATTGAGACCAAAAATGTCAACAAGAAAAAATAAATGTCTCATGACTGGGTTTGTCTTAACATTTAAGATTTCAAACATCTAATCAGTTTAGGGGAACTGAGGCTGTGGTTAACTGAGGATCCAGTTCTGAATTCCATAATTCATTTTAAAACCTTTATAAACCAACATTCAGATTAAACATTTTTGAGCATACCACTTTCATAACGCATTCATGTTTTGGAGTTTGGAGTATTTTAACTATATCTAAAAAAAAGGACATTTTGAAGGGACTTGTATGTGAAAGGTCACAGCTGATGTGATTTTGTGCTCCGCATTTTTCTAAACTTATTTAAAAATTCCGGCTCATAAAACCTGTCGTGTAAAAGTTATTCCCACTCATACTTAAAGCACCTCAACATTATACATTTTCTCACATCTGGCCTGTAGTCCATTTGTATTTGTTTTGCATGACAAGAAGTGAAGAATAAAAACTTGAAGCGGGTAATTTTCTCTCAGCCTGGTTCTCAGATTCTGTTTGCATTTGATGAAGAAGATTGTGTCAAACATAAAGATTTTCATCCATCTTCTTGCCTTTTAACTTTATACAGTGAACATATGGGCTGTGTTTATATTCGTATCCACAAATCTGTAGGTTCATCTAAACTGTGATACTGAAAGATTATGCAAACACTGCCACAGTGAAAGAAGGCTTTATATGCTTAATTTTACAATCTGGAAACAATCATCTTTCTCTTTTCCTTCTTCCACCACAAATAAAAGGGAACACAACTGACAACACTACAGAGACAAGTTAAAAATCATTATTTATTGGTAATTGTAATCTATTGTAGAATTTATTTATAATACAACCATTTCCTGCAGACACTTTTATTCTCAACAAAGAGACAACAAGGCAATTTCTGTAAACAATTACAAACAGAAGTGGAAAACTCTGCTATCTGACCAGAACCTACCACTGTTTCTATCAGAACCATGTGGAAAATCTTTTCTATACAGCTCGCATGTTTGACAGTGTGGGGACGACATATCCCAGATATACGCCTGTGTCTGATGGAGATTAATAAAAGCATGATGTGGTTTAGCTCCAAAGCCAGCAACACCACTTTGAAGAGTGGATGCATGGAGCATATGGAGCAAAGGTTTTTTTGTTTGGTTTTGCAGATTCTTAACACTTATTTTCTTATAACACTGTTTTTGAGTTTGAACATTTGAAACCTATGTTACCCCTTTTATCTAATACAAAATCAAAAGTTGAAATTGAGGTGTTAAGTCTGTTGAAAAATTATTGCTTTTGTCCAATTTGAACCCAGTAAAAGCATTTAAAAGCATGGATTTGTTACTGATGTCCCAAGTTACAGATAGTAAATGTTTGGATATTTTTACTTGCGCCTCAGGTGCATTTTATTAGAACATTGTCCCTCAGGTCTTTGAAGGATTTTTGCCCTATTTAAACCTCTGTTTGGTGTGCTCCAGACTGCTGAAGTGAAAGTGAACCCCATGGTAAGAGCAGTCTGAGCCCTGCAAAAAGATGATTGTAGCAGACTATGAGTTTGGTAAAGGATTTAAAGAGGTCTTAAAATACTTTAAAATCAGCCATTCTTATGTCTTGAAAACTGTGGAGGATATTTAAATTAACTACAACCATACTTAGGTTTAGCCCTCCTTGAACCTTCACCATGAAAACAGACTGCAAGGTGCTAAAAGAAGTCTCTAAAAAAACAAATTTCATCAACGAACCTATAGCAAACGTTTGCTAGTGCTGATGTGAAAGTGCATGTATTATAATCACAAAGAACCAGCACAAATTTAACTTTCATGGGAGATGTGCAAGTCAGACTGAAGTTTCCCACAGAGAACCTAGACTATTGTATTCCAGGAAAATAACTTCATATCAACTGTGAAGCATAGAAGTGGAAGTATCATGGTTTGGGAATGTTTTGCTGCTGAATCCAAAATTAATTCCACCATACATCAGATGGTGCATAAGGACATGAGGAATCTGTAAGAGCATTTTAAAAATATAAAAAAAAACTGAAGCAGAACTAGACCTTGCAACATGATGACCCAAAATAAGCCAGTAAATCCACCAACTGAAAATTAAGAAATAGAAACTCCTGGCCAGAGTCGAAGCAAAGATCTTTATCCTTTTGAAATGTTTTGAGGTAGCTTGAAAGTCGCTGTGCATGCAAGAAACCCCTCAGAACGCTAAAAGTGAAGAGTGGAGCATCCTTTCCTCAGATATCGGAGACAGGAAGATAGATACAAGTTACTCACAGAAGTTATTACAACCAAAGACCAGCTATTAATGGTTAGGGTGTCCTAACTTTTTCCTCAGCTAGAAAAAGTGTTTAACTTTCTTTCCATAAATAAATAAAAAAATAAGATTAGACAAAAACATGGGAACATTTCTTCATGAAAAACTGAATATAAAATGTCGTGTCCCTATTTCCTCCCATGACCTCCCATGACCTCCCATGTTTTGGTAAAAGCTGTATTTGTCTGTTTGTTTTGGGATTTCTGTTTGTTATTGTTATTGTGTTAAAGCCTCAGAGAACATCTGCCATTTTAACTACAGGAAATATGACCCAAGCTGCCTCCAATATAATAAAACTCTTGCTGCTGCTTGATTATTAAATCACCAGTTTTTGGATGAGAATGTTACATTAAAAGGTCAGACCTTACAGGTCCAAGCTAAAAAAAGGTCAGATACGTTTATATTTTCCACATATTGTCATACACACAAATACCAACGGAGACGGGCACAGAGGTCTGCAGCCCCTTCAACAAGACCAGTGGGGGAGAGGGGAAAGGAGCTTTGTTGGTAGGGAGCAACAGAAGGAGGGTCAAACAGCCCTTGGATGTATGAACGAGCCTTAAGCATTACATTTGGGTCCAATCATTTCAGGGATCTTTTTTTGGCCACAAAATATAGAACAGATGGACCAATAATGAGGGGTGTACCACACTCTAGGGAGAAAAAGTGGTCCATTTCTTTGTTAAACCACTGACGTGTCCTTTGTTTTCTTTCTCTGTTTTTAATATGTTGTTTTTCATGTTCTTTCCATGCTGCTCATCGGACTTTACCAGTGATTATGTTCATTTTGTTTTCTCTAATGAAGCTTGTGTGGCCTTCTGTAGACATTAATGATTCCTCAGCCTCTGACCTGCCTGTAATAGGGAGCTCGTCTCACACCCTGACTGATCTCTAACCTCTTAGAGAAGCAGTGGGAGGTGAAGTGAGGAGATGAGGGGGTTGTTTTAGGCTCAAGGTGAAAACATGAGGGCAGGTGCTCCCCACTGGGGCCCCTGCTCCCCATATAAGGGGCCTAGTTCCCCTATGATGTATGGGCCTGAGATGCCAGGCTCCTTTGTGGCAGGGTCCACAGCAGGGGACGCACCATCTGGGAAAAGAATGTCACGACTGACCTTAGGAGGTAGATATATGTCCCGTCCTCAGGCTTGAATGTCTGCGTCTCGCACCATGCAGACAAGGTGTTAAAGACGGCTTCCCTTCATTCGTTTTCAAAAAGGTTCCATGCATTTTTGTCTTTGCGAATGTCAGTCAGAAGGGCAACATTGTTGCCAAAATATTTCTTTCACTGCTTTTTAACACACACACAACTAAGTAAAATGTGCTCAGCTGATCACCCCTGACTTGTCTATCAGTAGGCTCTATGCAGTATCGTGAAATTCAAATAATTTTAATAGGCTTGCTTTTACTTTGAATTCTCATGGATGCTGAAAGGGCACAGACATTATAAACAATTAGAGAACCAGACACACGTGTTGGAGACATACAGCTTCCCAAAATGTCTGCTTGTGTTTAGGGGGGTGTGTGCAGTTGTTCATAAGAAAACACAACATCTCACATGGAACTTGTTTTTTTCTTTTACTTAGTAGATAAAATGAGTGCAAAAGCACTTCCTTGCTCTTAAGCAAATAATTTATTAGCAATTACAAGTGGTTACACCTTTGGCACCTCTGATAAACATGCAACATGCCTTACAATAAATTATTTGTTCATTGAAGGAGCATAAATTTAAAATACAAAATCCGCATTATGTTTGTAGAGATCTGTAGTAGTGACAATTATTGAGGCACCTCTTATTTAAATCTGAAAAAAATAAATGCTAATGTGGGGCTGCACGGTGGCGCAGTTGGTAGCACTGCTGAAAGCTGAAAGACAAATTATACAAACCATGATAAAATGACAAAATTAAAATCTTTGGAGTTCTATACTTTTGATTAGCACCTTTTGACTCTGGGCTGCACGGTGGCGCAGTTGGTAGCACTGTTGCATGCAGCAAGAAGGTCCTGGGTGTCGATTCCCGGCCGGGGGTCTTTCTGCATGGAATTTGCATGTTCCCCCTGTGCATGCGTGGGTTCTCACCGGGTACTCCGGCTTCCTCCCACAGTCCACAAACATGCCGGTTAGGTTAATTGGTCACTCTAAAAATTGCCCTTAGGTGTATGAATGAGTGTGTGCATGGTTGTTTGTGTGTTGCCCTGCGATGGTATGGTGACCTGTCCAGGGTGTACCCCACCTCTCGCCTAGAAAATGACTGACTAAATTCTAATGTATGATGACTTTTTTCTGTATATTTTGCTTTCAGCACACTTTCCAGTAATTCTTAAAGTAGAACTGAGCAGCAGATGTTCTGTTCTCTAAAATGTATTTCTTTGGACATTGGCTGTTGTCAACTAATTTTTGAGCCGTTGAGTCAGTTTGAAACTATATGTATGACCAAGCGTAGAGCAATGTCTTTTTAATATGTTAAGCATATTTACACTGATGCTTGACTTACTCAAAGCTAAAAAGACATCTCTGTTTGTTCCTTGAGTCTTAAAAGAAATGACATAAAAAAACTGGCAGGATGATGCTCAGTTGTGACATTTAGTTATGTCACCTTGTTCCTGAAATATTAAACATCATTTCAATTGTGCTTCAGTCTCTGACATCTTTTAAATAATTTAAAAAAATTCTCCCTGCATTTATTTCACCACAACACAAAAACAAATGAATAGGAACAAAACCAAATTTAACCATATCTTAAATTCTAATCAGGTTGGGCAAAGACAAGTGTGTCAAAAACATGTTTTTTTAGCGCATTTTAAGCCAGATGCTGAAATTGCTCATCCATATCATATATGGGAAATGAGATGTAAAGACCTACCTTGCTAGCACGGAAATATTGCTGCTGAGTTTTGTGGGAGCATTAGAGAATAGTGTGAAGACACAGGGGTTGATCAGTATCTGTCACATCTATCGACCCCTCCACTTCCAGTGTCAATTCTGGTTTTAGGTCAAAAAAGTCCTCCTCCTAAAGGCCTTGACCAACGGCTCTGTTAAGCAGTAAATGTATTTATAATTGCCTCACTCTGCCTTATTAGTTTAGGACCATGCTGCTGTAAATACCGTAGCTTCTCCAGTGGACCCCATTCTGTTTGTTTACATTAACATACGTTGATAAAAAAAAAGATCAGTTGTATAATATCACCTGCAAAACGATCATCTCATCTCATATAATAATGCAAATGACTCAACATACCAGTCTGCGTCAGCAGTTCAGTACAGACAACAGTATTACCAGTTTCCTACTCACTCTCAGTCTGTCTCCAAAAAAATCCAGTATGCTATATTCTGGTGGTATTTCTCTGCCTTGCTTACTTCATCGCAGTACTTTATTTCCTTATCCGTGTCATATTTTTGATGTTTTTTTATTTAAAAAAAAACCTACACAGATTGTTTAGCAAAGTCTTATTTTCAGGCCAAAGTACACAAACCATTGAAGAGAGTGACATAGTGGGAAGATAGAGCCTTTAACTCACCCGTTTAAAAAAGCAAAACAAAGCTAAATAAATTGGGTAAATCATTTCCAGAACACAATGCAACTTTCTGACTTAATATTTCTTTAAGCACTTGAAAATCTGTTTTATGCTCCTCGTTAGGCCAAATAAAAGAGAAAAATACATTTCCTACAAATGACGTAAATTAAACTGCCTCATTATGTTGAGGCTGAGCAGGTTTATTACGACGTCCTGGTAGTTTAAGTTTCATCAGAAGTCTTAAAATGAAGGTATCATGCTTGGAATAAATTAAATTGAGTCTTGTTTTTTACTGAATGTGTCATCTGAAAGGTCACAGCAATGCCTTCGAAGCCAAAACCTGACGTTCTGCCATCACCACAAAAGATACTAGGAATTTCAAGGAAAATCTTACTGAATATCTAATAAAGCAGAAAACTGAAAGATAAGCATAATTATGATTCATTTTGCTGATGTACTAAACCACCTTGTTTAGCTGCAGTAATGATGGTCTGAAACAGTCGGGCAGAAGCATACTGGAGGAGGCTTTTTCGCTGCAGGTCTAAGGTTGGACGAGCCCTCAGCGTTAAAAGGGATTTAGTTTTAGTTAATGTGAGGCCGATGTTTAAGTATGCGTGCAGTGATGTCTACCCCACAGAAATGAAGATAAATACAAGTCCTTTCCTTCTCCCCTCAGCACGACTCTGCAGGTTTATTATACACTGCCCGAGGCTTGTTCCATCTACGTGCAGAAACCATTACACAGAAACAAAAACACACACTTACTCACTGGGTTGTGATGACGCTCAGTCAGTGTTGAACTAATATATTTACAGAGAGGATTGACGAACGGATGGTTGTTTTTTTGCTCCATGATTACAGGGAAAAAGTGCTCCTTTCATCGTTATACATATTAAAACAGCAAATAAACAAGAACTTTAACTGTGAGTTTGCATTACATCTATAAAAATTGAGACTGTAATTCAGTTAGAGAATAAATGTGCAAATTCTGCTATAGTAATGTCAGAAAACCAAATGTAAAATCTTTAATAGCACAGATTTAATACTTAAAAAATGTAGCTTGTTCATATAACACACCACTGTGACTGAAAACACTTTGTGCCAGTTCACCATTAAAAAAAAAAAAGTTCAACATTTAGCTCACACGGATTAAAACATGGATTCAAACTCTTATTGAATGGAAACTATCTCATGGTCATAACTGAACACTTAAAATATCTGAGCTCAGTTTACAGAAATAGTGAAACTAGTTCACATTTTTCAAACTGTAAGATAAAAACGTTACACTTAGGTATGAGTGTCTCTGTGATGGACTGGCGACCTGCCCAAGAGAAATCCTGCTTTACACCCAATTACTGCTGAAGATGGGCACCTGGTTGTCCGGTGACCCTGTATGGATAAGCAAGTACAGCCAATGGATTGATGGTTTAAAGTTTGGTGGTCATTAGCAACAACGGGTTCCCATCTAAACATTTAAATGTTTTTACAACCTGCCACATGACACACTTGAGACTCACTGACCTTTACCCTCAAATGAAATTATTTCAGACTCTTTTCTGACACTCTATCAGTGTCAGTTTGCAACAGCCTTTCACATGCAAATAAAACAGTTTAGTATCATCAGAGTAAGCTGCAGTCAGTTCAAGTTGGTCAAAGTAAAAATGTTTGAGGTGATCAGAAATGTTCTCTCTGCTTATGAATCCATTCATTTTATTTTGTTCTTGTGTAACACTAGCAAAAACTGATATGCAATTGAGTTTATTTGTATGGCAATAATTTAAAATGAAACGCAATGTCAAAGGAAGGCAAACAGATATACAACATCCAAATCAGTACAAACTGAATTCAAATTAATCCAGTTAATTCAAACTGAATCCAATCTAATATTCAGATTCAAATCCAGTTAGCATAATACAATACTGAAATTTTCATTAGATCATATAATGCCAACTGGAATAAAGTTTTCAATCTACAGAATCAGAGTGTGGTGGTTCATTGACTTTGAATCAAGCCTTGGTCCTAAGCAAGCATGTTGTGACAGTGGAGAGGGAATACTCCATTTTTAGCACCAGGAAATCTACAGCAGAACGAGGCTCAGCATGAGCAGTCATCATATGCATCATATGCATCTGGCTGAAGTTCAAGAGGACAGGAAAAAGAAAAGGTACATGTAATTAATGGCAGCAATAGTTCTGTCATTGAGTCCGTCAATAACATTTATACAGATGCAGTGGGCCAAGCAACTTCTATGGAGAGAAATATAGGCAAAGTTAATGGCAGCAAAAATAGCAAGTAACGTCTAAATGGAAAAAGTAACATGAAGAAAGGAGCAAAATATGCATATTATAGATGGAGCACTTGAGATTCTGCTTTTATTCAGAGAACAACAAAAATACAACCATTTATATTTTACAGTTCTCTGTAATGACCCGTTTTTTTAATTCCAACATAATATCTCTCATCAACATCCCATTCAACTTATGCTTGTTGATTTCTTGATGACTCTGAGAGACCTGTAGTAGGAGTCAAAAGGTCAGTCAGTCAGTCATTTTCTACCGCTTATTCCATAGTGGGTCACGGGGGAGCTGGTGCCTATCTCCAGCAGTCTATGGGCGAGAGGCGGGGTACACCCTGGACAAGTCGCCAGTCCATCGCAGGGCAACACACAAACAACCATGCACACACTCATTCATACACCTAAGGGCAATTTAGAGTGACCAATTAACCTAAAAGGCATGTTTTTGGACTGTGGGAGGAAGCCGGAGTACGCGGTGAGAACCCACGCATGCACGGGGAGAACATACAAACTCCATGCAGAAAGACCCCTGGCCGGGAATCGAACCCAGGACCTTCTTGCTGCATGCAACAGTGCTACCAACTGCGCCACCGTGCAGCCCGGAGTCAAAAGGTGCTAATCAAAAGTATAGAACTCCAAAGATTTTAATTTTGTCATTTTATCATGGTTTGTATAATTTGTCTTTCAGCTTTTTTATAACACATAAAAATCCATACCATTGAAAGTGTAAGAAAAAATGTACACTTTTCATGCCTGTAATTCAGTTGTATTTTACCATTTACCCAAATTAATCATATTTTTTGCAAAGTATACTATCGCAGAAAAATATAACATGACAGGAAATGTATTAAAAAACAGAAATCTTGACTCTGAGATATGTTTATTTCTTCCTTTCTATAACTGAATGGATCATGAATATCTCCAGTCTTGTGAAGGTTTGTTTTTCCAAAGCTGTAAATACCACCATGGTATGGATGGTTCCTTACATCTTAAGAGGTGTGCACATCATTTTGAATAAAAAAAGGTCAAAGGTCCTTCAACGTAATTATTGTGTGAGACCTATAAAGAGAAGCTTTAGATTTGTGCTCATCAAACCTCTTAAAACACTGAACTATTATCATCTTAAAGGACTGGGTTTTTTTTCTGATTAGCAACCTAAAACTGAAAAGTACTAATCTAAACTTTTACTAACCTCCCCATTCTGGAATAATGGAAGTTTAAGAAGAAG